ATCACCAGATGCTGCTTATGAAGGAATAAGATTCTTAAGGATGTTGTTCTATGCACACTATTGCAAGATTTTTCATTCTTAGAATTTGAAATTGTATCACATCAAAGCACTAAATGCATAGACTGATAGAAACTGCATAGATGTACAGGTTGTTGGGGCGGCTATGTGAAACACTAAAGCGTGTATTCCCATCACTGACGCCATCACAACTGTCATGTTTGTCCTATAAACAACATTAGAATTGCGCGACATAATGGTGCCAGTTTAATGGAGCTTACTTGGTACAGGAAGGTGCGAACCAGGTGACTCAGTACGTTTCGTTTAACGTCACAAACAATAAGTACTCGACATCGTTTGGCACAGTTTGTCAAAAATAGCAACGCTTCGTTACCACGCCTAAAATTACAATTTTAATAACACTCGTACCTAATAGGTGGCGAAACACCCATTGTTCACCCACGCGTTAAATTATGCGGTCGTCAGGGCCGGATACTAGCGGACGTAAAGATCAACAAGAGCTTGAAGACGCAATGCAAACAACACACTGGGTTATTGCGTTGCTTCACGTCCAAGTAGCGTGGTAATTTGGACGCGTGTTGACATACGTTTACACACAGAGCCGCGAGGTTAAACGTGGCAAGTGGTCCCGCGCGAGACTGGTTGCAGAACTGATGGCCTACCATCGCATGACGCGATAAAGACGCTTATTTTCTAGCCGGCACACTGAGTTCAGAACGCATTCAGTAACGGCTTTCTAATATAGCGAAGGGCTGACGTAATACACAAGGCGAACAAAAGAATGAGCGAAGAGAGCAGCAAAAAACATAGACGGGAAATTAAAAATGAAGCGTATGTCAAACAAATTTGCAGTCGGGCCAAGAGCACTGAATGCCTAAACGGGTGAAGCAGGCGAGGCGAATCGCGGGTAATGCCCGATTCGCAAGAGCTAACCAAAGAAAAAGAAGAAAAGGCACACTGTAATTGCATCTACTGAGAGAGAGAGACTCCGGTAAATGGCGTTCCGTCAAGCTTCCGCCGCATACGCACATACACGCTGCGCAACGAAATCGAGAAATGTAGCAGCCTGCGACGGTCAGAAAATTTTCAATATACGGAAGTCAATTAAACGTATACGAGCGCTGCGCATCCGCTTTGAAATAGTTAACGCTTGGGAACCTTTCCGTACCCGTCTCACTTCTTTCAGTAATGAGAGTAAAAAACATAAATCGTAGCTCTAATAATTGTTGGTTGTTTCGGCGAATCGTCAGTTGGTTTCTAGTTAACATTTAGAAGACACATGCTATTCCCCGCTTCTCTGCCTTTTTTAGTATTTTTTTTCTCACGGCAGCCGACAGCGAAAACCACTTTCCAAACAGTGCGGAGTCTCAAAGTGTTCTTTTATCACAATATATATATATATATATATATATATATATATATCTATATATATATATATATATATATATATATATATATATATATATATATATATATATATATATATATATATATATATATAGCCTTCCGTAAGCATAATCTTCCCTTGGTGGAAATGGATTTTTCTGCCGAGGTCTTAATGACTCGTGACTCTTGTCAATGTGAGCACAGATGCACACACAAGAAAGCTGAACGTACCCGACGCCAGACAGTGGATTCTTAGAACAGCAACTAAACTCGTAACAGCCATTGGGAGTACCAGTTTACTTACATGTAGAGATGGTCCCACGGTCTAAAGTCAAAAGACAAGTTGTATAATGTGAAAGGTGTGAAACATTGAACTTGAAAGTAAACATCTCGTTCATATTCGGAAGAATGTACAGTAAACAGGATATAACATCATATAATCATGCTGTTTTTTGGTCGCTTCTTGACCTTTGCTTGAATAACCTTTATAATTTCATATTTGATTTAGTTCTCGAGACTTGCTAGATCACTGCATCACTGTACTTTTCACCAGCAGCTGTCTGCGACCCCTGTCTGTTAGGGCCCAAGCTCAAAAACCCCCAGGCCATTTATAACGGATGAGGGTGTCCGTAAAAAAAGAGCGAACAACGACTACGTTGATTTACATCTTGCAGCAAGTTGCAGATTCTAAAGACCGCTCCCATCGAATCGGTTGGTTTATGGGGCTTCACGACGAGAAGTGACTCACCCCCGTATTCTATACCATCCCTTCACTCAACGCTTCACCTTCACTTGAGAAAGCCGATGGGAGCGCCATCTCTAAGAACGGCGAGCCACTGCGTATATTCTGCTGCGATTCTTGAGTAGCGCAGCGTAATTTTCAGCCGCGCAGTGGCGCACTGCTCAACTCTGTCAAGTGAAGGGTGAAAGTCGAGTCAAGGAGCGTTTGTGAATACGGGGGTTAGGCTATGAGTGACGTCATAGCGGAGGGCTCCGGATAATTTCGACTACCTGTGGTGCTTTAACATGCGCTGACATCCCACAGCAGGACATGGCCTCTAGCGTTCCGTCTCCATCCAAATGCGTCTGGCGTGGATGGGATCGTATACCATCGTCTTTCGGGTCAGCAGCCGAACACCGTAACCACTGTGAAACCACACTCTCCGATTCGCGCTGGTATCTGCTAGCTGCGGCAAGATGCATAAATTGGCTTCTTCTATTCAGCTATTTTCCTGCCTCTTCATCCTATTCCAAGGGGTGTTCTGAGCGTTTACTGCAGTGTCGACATCATTTACTACGAACCGAGAGTCATTTCAAACCGCAGTGTGTCTGCTATAAGCGACATGACGTTGATTTTTAACGTCACTAGTGCTTCAGAACCATTTTTTTTTCAATCTTGACGGTGGTTTCTTCCTGGTACGCAGCAATGCCATATATGTGGGTACTTGTGTGGGTGTGGCAGGGTCGAGTGAATTTTTCAACCGGCCCCGTATTACTATATTATTCATTGCTATAGCTTGCATCTCCTCCAACTTTCATGCCATTTTCATTAAAGAGGGAGAAAGCGAAACAAGACAGGGCAGTCCCTCGAACTGGAAAGATGACTTCGATCGGCATGCCTTCAGCAGCGAGCACTAAAGCCTCCCGTGCATAATTTCCCGCATTGAATTCCCCACCCTTGAACGAAGTAGTGAACAAAACTTGTGTCGCTTCATGAAACACCCTTGTGCACCAGCCTTTATAGCCCTATAGCTGCACGTAAGTAAGGCGAGACAGTGCGACCTGTCGTGGTAGCTTATCGGAGGTCGTTGCTTATCGTGCTGCTAAGCACGAGGGCGCGCGCTTGATTTGACGAGGCCGAAATGCAACATCACACGTGTCAGCTTTCGACACCAATTATTCCTATTTTCCCCCATACAGTATACATTACGGTGGCGCGATTTCGCACACTTAAAATCAGGCAAAATTTATCTGACCATGCACTGACGGCTTCTCCAGAGTACAAACACTTGTTATTTCCCTGGCGCAGTGAACTGACTAAATCAAGGATGATGGAAGTTGTCATCACGAAATTTCGTTGCCGCGTTACCTCCCTCAATTTTTACTTGCATAGATCAGGCATATTGAATTCCCCTATGTGCATTTACTGTAATCAAGAGGAAACGATCAGTCATTTTTTATTACATTGTCGCCGTTTCGATTTATTCAGGCAAAGCATACTAGCACCACCTCTTCAAAGACTGGGCTTGCAACTTTCACAGCCTGATCTTCTTTCATTTGGAGCCTCTACACTGGGTTTCAGCCACAGGGATGTTTTATTCGCCGTTCAAGAATACATCACTGCGACTAAACGATTTTCTTGCTAAATTGCTGTCTCAAAATTTTTCTTATTTTTTTTCTGCAAACTTCATATCGGTATTTCAAATCAAAATTAAGTTACAAAAAAAATTGTAGGAATGACACAATGCTGAAAGTTTAGGGCAAATTCACCTTAAAATCGGCCAATCCCCTTCTTTGGGTACGAGCCATTTCTACAGGGAAACAACAACAACAACAACAGCTTGCGACAGCTGGCACGAAAAAAAAAAGCGTCCTACACATGCCATCATGACCACGAGCAGCGCTGGCCAACACATTCAGGTTTACATGCACTGACACCCAATAAAGCGGACGGGACGACGACAGTCACTGTAGGTCAATGGGTTGAGCCACGGAGACGTATCCGAAGGATGTATACGCTCTAACAATTTTTCGGGAGTAACTGCACAGTTAACCAAAAAAAGGGAGTTTTGCCCCTCCAACGCACGAACTGTGTTGCACACGGTGCTTCAACAATGGTACCCTCCTCTTTTGTGCAAACGACCGACCAGTGCCTACATAACCCCGTTTCCTTCCAGACGATACCGTAGCGTGGCTTGGTGTAGTGCTCAGTGTACACGCATGCTGATTCAGTGGTCGTGAGTTTGAATTCCAAGTGTATGCTCAAATTTTTCTGAAAGTTAATTTGCATGTGATTCCTGTATATACGATTGTACATCTAATCATGTGCCTGTACAACTCTCAAAATGCTGGTCAAGTCAGCCAAGAACTGCAACTATTGCTCCTTTAGTAAATCTTAAAAAGTAACCGCGAGGTTGGGAAGCAACAAAATACCCCCAAAAGGGAAAAATAGCTGTGGTAGGGAAGGTATACTCCTCTAAAGGAGCAACCTCAATACCCTTCTTCCTCGCTTACTTCTCAGAGCATAAGTTCGATTACGAACAGCAGCAAGTTGCCTTTTCGTCCATTTTAATTTCTCTACAATTCTGATATATATACCACCCTAAAGTTACAGAACTACAATGTCCCTACACTTTGCTTGGCGTGTTTGCGTCTTGAGTTGAGAATAACGTATAAAAAGCAAGCCATTGATCTATTCCTTTCGTGGGTTCATAAAACTATTTGATAATTTGAAACGAAACATTACGGTTGCTCAGTAACTATTGCATCAATTTCCTCATTTATTTTTCCATCACTTTTGTTGGTATATAAACAAATAATTGTCGAACAGCCAGCGGCATCGAACTAGAACATGGGTGAAGAGTATTTCTTTTTACTTGGGTTTCGGTGAGGTTGAGTGATGAGGAGAACTCGGCGCGTTCGGCTATGCTCAGGTACTGCTTGACTCGGAACTTGCGCTCGAGCGCAAGCAGCTGCTGCGTCGTAAATGGAGTCCGTGGCTTGCGGTTGCTCTTGTGACGTCGTAGTTGACACTTGACCGGCAGTGAAGGTACCTCACCAGGCTCTGCAACGAAAAGACGTATACACGAGGACGCAAGTGAGAATTGTAATCTGTTAATAGAGCCACGTAACAAAGGTACGACGAGCATACACTAATTTCGTCTTCAGCTCGATGCATTCGCGTCTTACTAGGAAGAAGCGTGCAAAGTGCTCGATAACAACGCGTCATAAACGAACCTAAAACTACGCGCATTCCCATTGCTTAACCGACTGTCGCAATTGTTTAAATAATGCACAGAATACCTCGTGATCAGCACTTAGGTCACTGCGCACCCCAGCCTCATCATTTGTAACATCTCACATTCATGACTGTAGTATCCCTTTGCAGTCACGCTCAGAGTAATATCGACGCTTCACAAAGATAATTGTACGTGCCATTCGCCACTGCATGTGCTATACAATGCTGATGTGTGTATATACCCACAGGCATAATCTGTTAGCATACACAATACGGGCAAGCTGGTCTCTTTCCATCTTCAAAAGCTTTTTTTTTACTTAGTGTCACATCACCTCGATTAATTACTCCCCCCGTACAAAATGTACCACCGAATCTAAACTGAGGTCTAGCGCAAACTAAATGAGGTATAGCACAAGAGAAGGTTTTTTGAAACAACGAAGGGCTTGCTAGATGCAGAATAACACATGTGTGAGCAGGTTGATATAGGTTCATAATGATGCAAAAGGTCGGTCTTGGATGAATACAGAACGACAAGACAAAATACAGAACACGTATACTCAGAACTGAGGCTATTCTACGATGGGCTAATCATGGAGCCTATTGTCTAATCTCCAGACTACGCATAAAATATTTAATGACGCCTATATTTAATAATTCAGGCTCTAAACTCGACACTATGCATTACTGAACGCTGAGTAACACGATCACATCGAATGTGAAAGCTAATGACGCCAATTACGAGCTGTTTGAAATATACAATAATGTGGAATGCGCGCATTTTATACTTTTTCGCCTGACGCATTATGCGCAGTTCAGGTACCTGCGTATTAGTCGCTTTGAGTCCTTCTATACACAAATATTAAGGGCCAGTATACTATATTACACATGCATATACAGAAACTAGTTTCAAGTTGTGCGAATGCCCCATTTTTAGATGAAATATTCTGCCTATAGCCGGATGACTTGTTGCAAATAAACTGTTGCCTACCCATTAGGAGTGCGCAATAATATACTTTTTTCACAATCCCTTTTCAATTTTTTAGACTTACAATTTTAATTTCTATACAAGGCAGAGTTCAAGAGCACAGATTTGACACATAGTTCGCTACTTGCTGTAAACATTGTTGAAGTTATTATAACTTATAACCATCAGATCATGCGTGTCTCTTAGCTCACTGCATGGACATCGACATGGTAAAGAACAGTATACTTCAGATCCCACATCATCCCCGTTGCAAATGGTTATCGAGTGCTTGTACAACACGAAAGGGGCCCGTCATTGTCGGAAATTCGGCAGATCCCACGTACCTTGGAAATCAATGTTATGAAAAGCATACGGAGGGAAAGTGACTGTGTTTTTTTTTATTGACTAAAGCGTTACAAAATAATGCTAACATATGTACAAATATTGCACGCAAAGACATATGTTGAACAGTCACACATGTTTTATATAAAAAGTTGCTTAATGTTGCGTTATGACGCCAACAGGAACATGGGCATTAGCAACGCCAAAAACACTAAGCTGATGATATGTAGCTCTTGTGCTCGCGAGTATGGTAGGTAGTCCTACACTGCTGCACAAATCAACAACGGACGGCGTTTAACTACAATTTACCTCAACCCGACGAGAAGCTAGTGTCATGGGAGTACATATGTAATGTTTATAAAATTGGATAGCCTCTACCGCTGCAAACACAATTGAAGTTTCAGCAACATTACACATGCATCAGGTCTTTTTACAAAGCACTGCGAGACCTGGCGTGACTCTGTGGTAGAATACTTGATTGCCCCGCAGAATACTAGAGTTTTGTTCTTGTTGGGAACCTGATTGCTATTATTTGAATTCGTTGAGTCAGCGCTGCTGATATCAACCTTTTTCTAATGCCTTCGCATTAAAATTAGCCATGTCTGTTCTCGCTGTTCATGGGTATAGATATAAACTGTCTGTCCCCCCTTGGGCAGTGGCAAAACACCCGCATACCCGCCCTTATTATATTGATATGTGCCACACCTGTCCAGAGGAAAGGGTTTGACGGCGCACTTGAAGGAATTGTCACATTATTCATGCCGTGAACAGCGAAGTGATTTTCGTCAAATTATCTTACCCTGCAATTTTGGCTTGCCCCAAGTTAAGGCGGTGATAATGAGAGTACCCCGACGTAGGGGGCTGATAGATAGATAGATAGATAGATAGATAGATAGATAGATAGATAGATAGATAGATAGATAGATAGATAGATAGATAGATAGATAGATAGATAGATAGATAGATAGATAGATAGATAGATAGATAGATAGATAGATAGATAGATAGATAGATAGATAGATAGATAGATAGATAGATAGATAGATAGATAGACGGACGGACGGACGGACGGACGGACGGACGGACGGACGGACGACAGACAGACAGACAGACAGACAGACAGACAGACAGACAGACAGACAGACAGACAGACAGACAGACAGACAGACAGACAGACAGACAGATAGATAGATAGATAGATAGATAGATAGATAGATAGATAGATAGATAGATAGATAGATAGATAGATAGATAGATAGATAGATAGATAGATAGAAAGATATATAAATAGATAGATAGATAGATAGATAGATAGATAGATAGATAGATAGATAGATAGATAGATAGATAGACAGACAGACAGACAGACAGACAGACAGACAGACAGACAGACAGACAGACAGACAGACAGACAGACAGACAGATAGATAGATAGATAGATAGATAGACAGACAGACAGACAGACAGACAGACAGACAGACAGACAGATAGATAGATAGATAGATAGATAGATAGATAGATAGATAGATAGATAGATAGATAGATAGATAGATAGATAGATAGATAGATAGATAGATAGATAGATAGATAGATAGATAGATAGATAGATAGATAGATAGATAGATAGATAGATAGATAGATAGATAGATTTAATGTGTCTGCAGTACACAAAGATGATGATGTATTCTGACAAACGCTGAGACTTGCTTCGCTGGATCAACACCGCGCAACACAATAATGCTCAAGTTTATTTCAATAAAAAGCGAGATGTAATGCCATACATGATCAGCTGCCGCCAATGCTTCTTCAATACACCAATAGCTTTCTCCGCTACTTAGTCACACTCGGCTTCCTGCGAAAAAAAATATTCGCTTCAACCTGTAGTGATGCCTACAAACTTTGTGACTCGTCTGCCTTACCAGCTTGCCTCATCGTTTCCTTGCTGTTTAAACATCATAGTATACACTCGCCCAAACTGCAGTTCTAGCGAGCGGTTGCTAAAGGAACCGCTACTCAAGGGTGCAGCTGTTCAATTCATTGGCGGTCACAATGGAAATAGAACTTAAATTCCCATCACCACCTGTGTAGCGACCACCCGCAGGACTCAGTGTCTGTCAGGAGTAATTACAGCAGGTGAATTTAGGATAGGTATTGTATATAAAGCAACGGGAGTTCTTTCGTTCAGTCCAGACTATGTTCCCCATCTCGTCTCATTAAGTATTTTTCTCGCAGCTCATGACAGAGAAACTCGGGAGCATTTCGCTGCCGTTGCTGATTATCATGCATTTCGTTGCAAGCCAGTGGAACCCGTTGCCGCGCGGCATACGCAGTAGTTGGAGAAACTCGTTTCTTGGACCGCGACACGACGCGCGTTCTGCTTACGATGTGGCGCGGCGTGAACCCGATGCACGCTGCCCGACCTCGACGGCGCCGAATTCATTCCGCGCGCTCTCGTCCCACCACGCGGCGCGCGTAACTGTGCAGTCACGAGCTGCTCGCCGACTTATTTGTCGTCGTTACTAATGGAGCTCCACGAGCGGTCGGCGAAGCGGCGTGCTTCCAACTCTCTTACGGCCTTCTTCGCGCACTCTTCAAACGCGCTCCCCGCCGAGTTCGTGGGCAGGATTAAAGGAAACCCCTGCCCACATGCGTGCTGCGCTGCCAGTTCAGCGACCACTGCTCTGACAATCACAAATGGGGTGCCCGCCGGCCGGCCTGCCCTTCTTCGTGCCACCATGCTCGCGTCTTGAAGCGAGTATCGTTTATCTGTGCCAGCAGTGTAACCGCCGAATCTAAAGCTACCTTCTTGCGGCTTATTCCAAAAGTCCGACACGAATAAAAGGAAACTTATAACAAAACCACCATGTTGGTAGTGAGTAGCACAAGTTGCTTGGGAGTGCTAAGCCGATTCTCATTCGTATTCCGATGAATTATGTAAAGAAACGTTCCCTAGAACTGCCGTAACATTTCAAAAAAAAAGAAAAGAAGTGTTTCTATCTGTCCTCCAGACGAACGCTATGGTTTCCACCCTGCAGAGTTTACAGGTATATTGACTGGGCAGTTCCATGGTATGCGAATGAGAAACATTCGTTAGTTGGCATTCGATATACGATTGAAGTGAAAGAAAAATTAATATACCAGCACCGTAACCCTATTTACGTTTGGTACGAAATGAATCGGATAAATATGCTGCAACATGCACCGTGATAGGTAGTCTCCGTAGTACGGCATATGCGTCCATTTTCTTCACGAAAGGCGCATTAAGTACGGTAGCGTATAGAAAAGACAGGTATGTCATTAGGTCTAAGCGATTTTCTCATACCTGGACGGGTGGTGGTGGAAGCGCTTGTTTGAAAAAAAGGAGGCATGATCTTTGCCTCACCCGACGAGTTCCCTCTTGGCGACGAAGAACTACCCAGCAGGGAGGGGGTGAACTTACGTTAAAGAAAATTAAAGATAGCGCGGAAGTTGACGGTCAAACATTGTTATATTACCGTAATGTGATAACAATAATTTTAAA